GATTTTGTGCAGTTTTTTGTGCAGTTTTGCTGCTGTTTTTTATGCAGTTTTGCTGTATTTTTTTGGTGCAGTTTTGTGCAGTTTTGATGCAGTTTTTAGTACTGTTTTGGTGCTGTTTTTATGCAGTTTTGCTGCTTTTTTTTTTTTTTTTTGCAGTTTTGACTCTTTTTTGCTGCAATTTTACTGCATATTCATTAATTAATATACGAAGAAAATAAGACCGTCTTATGCATAAATAGGTGTATATTTTAAATTGTACATTTTTTTTTCTCAAAAACCAAACCGAAACCGTTTAAAACCGCACCGCACCGAACCGAACGGTTTGGTTTCATTTCGGTTTTGGCTTCCAAACCGCACCGCACCGCACCGCAAAATGTTTCGATTTCGGTTGTGGTTTCACTCGAAACCGCACCAAACCGCACCGCGCCCACCCCTACTTTCCATACTCGAACAACAACAACTCCAACATCTCTTAGGAGCATTTGCAAACATCTTTGAGGTTCATTCAAAATTGCCTCATTCCCGAGTTTATGATCATCGCATTCCTCTACTCTTTAGAGCACAACCCCTAAACATTTGACCTTATCATTATGGTCCTCTTCAGAAAAGGCTGTGGAGGAATTACTTGCTGCAGGGTTCATTCGACCAAGTCGTAGCCCCTTCTCTTTTCCTGTCCTCTTGGTGAAGAAGAAGGAAGGCACTTGGAGGATGTGCATTGACTACATGGAACTTAATGCTCTTACTATTAAAGATAAGTACCCTATTCCCTTAATTGATGACCTTTTGGATGAACTCTTGGTGCTAGGGGTGGGCACTTGAAACCGAAAACCGAAACCGAAACACAAATCGAATCAAACCGCACCAAACGGTTTGGTTTTGCGGTTTTGAAACGGTTTCGGTTTCAAAACCGAACCGCGGCACATAAAACGGTTTGGTTTCGGTTTTGGGTTTTCAAAACCGTACCGAAACCGAAACTGAAACCGAAACCGCACTTTTTTATTTTTATTTAGTTCATTCAACTAGGTTATACTTATACATTTGGTTTTGCGGTTCTGGGTTTGCACTTTCAGTGACTGCTTCTGCGCCACCTCCTTGCATCTTCGCATCTGCCTTTGCGACCTGGTCACCTGACTGCCTGCTTGCATCTGCTTCTGCCTGCCTGCCTGCGAGCGACTGCTTCTGCCTGCCTGCCTGCGAGCGAGTCGCGACTGCTTCTGCATCTGCTTCTGCGGCTGCCTGCGAGCGACTGCTTCTGCTTGCGACCTCACTGAGTCACTGAGTCACTGCTTGCTTTCATCTCTGCCTTGCCTTGCGACCTCACTGAGTCATTGCTTACCAGCTAATATGGTAAGATAATTTGTTAGTTATTTGTCTCAAAAAGAAGTTTGGGTCTTGAAAGATAATTTCTGAATTTATTGCTTCCATTTTCGAAATAAAATCTTCAATTCAGAGTGCTGCAATTGAAAGATAAAATCTTCAATTAAGGTGGTAAGGTTTAAGAATTTCTTTACTCACAGCTTATATTCCAAATATTCCGTAAAGATGCCCATCTTTCTACTTCTTCCCCTTTCACTTGATGAGATGTTGAACAGTTTCTTAAAAATATCATCTACAATCAACTCAATAAACTTGATTTTGAATTAATTATGTTTCAGCCATTGTCTATACGTGGGTTGTGCATCACCCAAAACAGCCGGTTGCGCTGTTGTTTTTGGGGCCAAAGGGTGGGGGCGTGATTTTGGGGGACAGAGGAGAGAGGAGAGGGGTTTAGGTGCAGAAGATCTGATCTCGTGATTTGGGGGAGAGAGGAGAGGGGGTTGGACGCAGAGATTTGGGGGCGTGATTTTGGGATTTTGGGGAAAGAGGAGAGGGGTTTAGTCGCAGAGAGTGGGTGCATGTTTTGGGGGATTGTATCTGTCATTCCTCACGAAATGGCAGCTTCCATTCTCAACCCAATTTCTCTCCCCCTCCCCTTCTTCTCCATCAAAACCCCTAATTTCCCCAATCCGATCTGTCATATTTCTCAATACACCCACCTCCCCTCTCAACGCTCTAGCTTTAGCCGGCAGCAACCCAACCAAACTAACTCAAACCCTCAAATGGGCAGCCCACCCGAACCCATCACCATCCATCCCCATCTTCACCACCTACACCACTGGTCCACCGACCCACCCTCCCTCCACCGCCTCTGCACTCAAACCAACGTCCAAATGCACTCTCTTGCTTTGTTTTTGGAATTCGTATTTAAGTTTGATATCTTTTTTGCAGCTGCTGGAAAGTGGTCGCAGAAAATTTCTCTTATGGGAGTTATGGAGGAGTTGGGGAGGAAGAACAGAGTATTCAGCAGCTGAGATTCAAAGCTGCTTTGCTTTCTTTCTCAAGTGTTTCATCAAGGAAGAAGTTGGTCAGTTAGTTCTCTATTTTTCGAGAAAAAAAAATATAACATTTGAAACCTTGAAGTTTGAACTTTAGTTGTATTATGGCAAACTTAACTTTTCAATTGGGTTGTAGTAAACTATTGTGATTGATTGGTGATCAAGTTGAATTTTAGTAGATGTGAATTATGTGATGCGTTTTTGTGCAGTTTTTTGGTGCAGTTTTGTGCAGTTTTTTTGTGCAGTTTTGGTGCAGTTGTGGTGTAATTTTTGCTGCAGTTTAGCTGCTGTTTTTTGTGCAGTTTTGGTGCTGTTTAGCTGCTGTTTTTTGTGCAGTTTCAGTGCAGTTTTTTGCTGCAGGTTTGGTACAGCTCTTGGTGTTGTTTTGCTGCAGGTTTGGTGCAGTTTTTGGTGTTGTTGCTGTTTTTGGTGCAATTTTGGTGCATATTCATTAATTAATATACAAGGAAAATAAGATCATCTTATGCATAAATATGTGTATATTTTAAATTGTACATTTTTTTCTCAAAAACCAAACCGAAACCGTTTGAAACCGCACCGAACCGAACCAAACGGTTTGGTTTCATTTCGGTTTTGGCTTCAAAACCGCACCGCACCGCACCGCAAAAAGTTTCGATTTCGGTTGTGGTTTCACTCGAAACCGCACCAAACCGCACCGCGCCCACCCCTACTTGGTGCTGTCTACTTTTCTAAATTGGACCTACGATCTGGATATCATCAGATTCTAATGCATCTTGGAGATATGGAAAAGATTGCTTTTAAAACTCATGAAGGTCATTATGAGTTCTTAGTTATGCCATTTAGGTTTACTAATGCTCCGGCCACCTTTCAAAACTTAATGAACGACCTGTTCAAACCATACCTCATAAAATTTGTGCTGGTTTTCTTTGATGACCTCTTGATTTATAGCAAATCTTGGTCTGATCACTTGGCACATTTGAAGACTATTTTTGAGGTATTACAACATCACCAGTTGCATCTTAAAATGTCTAAATGTTCCCTAGGGTAAAGTAAGGTGGAATACTTGGGGCATATTGCATCCAAGGATGGGGTTGAGGTTGACCCAACCAAGTTGCAGGCAATTAAGGATTGGCTTGTCCCAACAACTGTCAAGCAATTAAGGGGTTTCCTTGGTTTAACAGGTTATTACAGGAAGTTCTTTCCTGGTTATAGGGGAATTTGTCAACCCTTGTATAACTTAACCAAAAGGGATGCTTTCCAATGGTCTGATGCTAAGTTAAAGGAAGTGATGCTTTCCCCACAGGTCTTTGCCCTTCCTGATTTTTCTAAGCCTTTTGAAATCGAATGTGATGCCTTAGAGTTGGGAATTGGTGCAGTTTTACAACAAGGTCGAAGACCAATTGCATTTGCTAGCCAATCACTCGGACCAAGGAACCAATCGCTATCCACCTATGAAAGGGAACTCATTACTATAGTATATGAAGTGAGGAAATGGCAAAACTAACTTCACGGGAGGCATTTTATTATCAAGACCAACCATAATAGCTTGAAGTACTTTATGAATCAAAGGGCTAATACACCCTTCCAACATAAATGGATCTCTAAACTCTTGGGGTTTGATTATGAGATTCAGTACAAAGTAGGACAAGACAATGTGGTTGCAAATGCATTATCAAGGGTTCAAGGTGTTGCCCCACTCCAAGACCCAAGTTCTGTTGAGTCTCTTGAATGTGCCTACATTTCCTACCCCTATAGTGGTTGGTTGGATGACTTAAGAAGGTTTAATGAAGGTGATGAATGGATCTTGTAGAAAACAAAGGAAGTCAGGGAAAGTGCTCATAATGGTGTTGGTAGCGCTACCCTTGGTAAAATTTCCATTAGGAACAGCTTCTTGTGCTATAAGAAACAGATTGTGTTAAGTCCTGATTTGGAGTGGATATGCAATCTCATTGAGGAATATCATTCTTCTCCAGCTGCTGGACACCAAGGAGTGGTTAAACATATCATAAATTGAAAAAACAGTTCTATTAGCAAGGAATGAAGAACCACATTAGACAATTTATTGATGCGTGTCACATTTGTCAACAAAACAAATGTGAGACAACTTCTCCCCAGGATTGTTGCAACCCTTGCCTATCCCAACTAAGGACTGGACTGATATCAACATGGATTTCATAGTTGACCTTCCACTATGCAAAGGAAAATTTGTGATAATGGTGGTGGTAGATAGGCTGTCTAAGTACTCCCACTTTATGGCTTTATCTCATCCCTACATTGGTTCCACGGTTGTCCAAGTATTCATTGATAGTGTCTTTAAATTGCAAGGAATGCCTCACTCCATAGTTAATGATAGGGACCTCAGCTTTATTAGTGCATTCTGGAAGGAATTTTTTAAGCTCTAGTAGTCTAAACTTTGTATGAACTCGGACTATCACCCTCAGAGTGATGGACAAACTAAGGTGATGAATCGATGCCTTGAGACTTATCACAGATGCTTTGTGGGGGAACAACCTCGAAATTGGGTTAAATGGCTTGCTTGGACCGAATGGTGTTTTAATACATCTTACTACACATCTTCAAAGTTTACCCCCTTTGAACTTGTGTATGGATACCCTCCACCACATATGACTGCCTATGAACTAGGTACGACTAATGTGGATGCAGTGGAACAAAGTCTTTTGGAGAGGGATAGGGTGCTATCTGTGGTCAATTCCAACTTGGTGAGGGCTCAAAACAGAATGAGAATGCAAGCAGATAAGAAGAGGAGTGAGAGACAATTTGCAATTAGAGACTCAGTGTATTTGAAACTGATACCATATCAACCGCAATCACTGGCACCACACGGTTATCACAAGTTGCAGCCGAGGTATTATGGTCCCTATGAGGTGATAGAGAAGATTGGTCCAGTTGCATACAGATTGAGGCTCCCTGTGGAAAGTAAAATACATCCAGTGTTCCATGTGAGTAATCTCAAGAGGCAGTTGGGTTCCAATAATGTGTTGCATTCCACACTCCCTCAGGTTTTAGAGGATGGACCATCTCAGACCTTTCCACAGAAGATTCTAGCTCGAAGGATTTATAAGAAGGGCAACTCAGCAGGTGTGCAATTGCTGGTCCAGTGGGTTGATTAAGAAGAAGCTGATGCCACTTTTGGGAAGATTTTGATGATTTCCAAGCCGAGTTCCCAGAATTTCTCCGAAACCCCGCAACCTTATCACAGAGCTACGGGGGTTCTTCGCCATCGCCGCCTGTGTAAAGCTGCTTCTAATCCCAGCCTACAAAAGCACAAACTATAAGGTCCACTGCCATAGGCTAGCTACAACCCACCTCTGCCTCTTGCCCATTGGTACACTGACGAGACGAGCATTGGACCCTCGACTACCCGCCATTCTTTACCTACATCGAGCTCTTCCTTTCCGTTTTCGCCAATCTCATCGACCCACAAATCGGTCACCTCCAAAAGGGCTTGAAATACAGCTCAAACGCAGTGCTTTCCTTCCAAAGAATCTCGGTTATCTTATCAGATTTGTGCCTTTTGTATGGGGTTTATCGATTTAGTAGGAATTGGGATTCGATGAAGCGAAAGATGATCTGGGTTCTGGTGGTTTGGTCGCCAATGCTTATTATTGTAGACCGTTTGCATATCCAGCACAATGGGTTTTTGCTTGGGATTTTGTTGATTTCGCCTTCGCGTTTGGAGGAAGGGAGGGACTTTACTGGTGGGCTTGTTTTTGCTATGTTGTTGTGCTTCAAGCATTTGTTTGCGGTTGTGGCGCCTATTTATTTTGTTTACTTGTTGAGGCATTATTGTTGGAAAGGATTGGTGAGGGGTTTTTGGCGGCTTTCGGTTTTGGGGCTGTTGTTGTGGCTGGCTGGTTTTACATTGGCATATGGCCCGTTTGTGTATCATGGGTAGGTAATCTCTCAGGCTCTGCCTTTTTGTTTTTGAAATGGTTATTTGCATTCTTCATATTAGTCTAATCTGCTGCTATGAAGCAATCTCAGAACATATTAACATTTGCTTGTGACTTGTCGCCCAAACAAAGAATAGCTTTGGATTTGTTTTCCATAAAAAAATGGGATTTTGAGGAGAGCTGAATATATGTTAATACTTTGTAAACAATTAGTAAGAGACTTATAGTTGTGCCATCTCTTCGTATTGTGTTTCATGTATCTTACTATTGGAAATCAAGACCATCTGGAGTCGTATCTTTATTAAGTGGATTAGTCGATAGTATTGCATTAGCGTCATAAAGCCATTGAGCTTCCTAACAAAAAGTAATGATGTACTATCATTTGTTCTCTGAGCCATACATAAGGAAAGACAGATTTTATTGACAGAATATTGAGCAAATAAGGATTCTTTCTGCTGTTAGAAAAGCAGATGAAATCTCAAAGTAGAGCATCTTGAAATAATTACCGAACTGAAGCAGCTGCAGCTGCATTAGGTTTGGCAGGGTAGAACGTATAAATTGAATGTTGCTACCCATGGCTCCCATAAAGTTATAAACCATGCAAGAATGGTGCAGGATGTAATGAGCCATCTCTGTGTGGCCTAGAAGTTAGTTCCATTGATGAGGTTTGGATTATGTATACGAACTGAAGTTACAGGATCTGAGGTCACACTCAAAGTTGGTTTGAATGGTTTATTTAGATTCTTATGAACATGAAACTGAATAGAGGATGTGTGTGTGTGTGTGTGTGTGTGTGTGTGTGAGAGAGAGAGAGAGAGAGAGAGAGAGAGAGAGAGAGAGAGCTATGTTTAGGCTTCCCTGGGCTGTAGCACGGGACAGTTCTTGCCCAATCAAAACTCATTAAACTAATTATAGTGCCAGTAAGCCTATTAAACTGATTATCATTCCATTTTTACTCTACACTCTCCTCTTTTCAAGCCATAATTGGTGGTTTTTTCATCACATAATTGGTTGTCTTTGGTTATAATTTTTTCCTTTTTTTTTCCTTAAATAATATTAGCCCAACCCTCTGAAAAATCCTAGCTATGCCCTTTCTTGGGTCTATCATTTTGCATTAAGATCTTCACATTTTGCCACGTTTTTTGGGTGGTATGGACGGAGAGTAATTAGAGGAATTTTTAGGGAGAAAGGGGCGAGGAGGTGGATCACTTGTGGTATAGGGTATTTGGGTACCCCTTTGGTGATGGGATCTTCAGAGTTTTGGTATAGTTCTTTTGAACTAATGATTGAAAAGCTATTTGCTTTAGTGGTTTTTATTTATTTATTTTTATTTTTTTCACTTGGTATGATAAAATAATTATGGTTATCCTTTTATTTCTTGTAGAGTAGTAGCTTAGAATGATAAGTGGGCGTATAAAAATAAAATGATTTTTTCTCTTGAAGTATATATATGTTTCCACAATATTCGGAGCTAATGACATTTTTTTTATGTATATCCATTTTTTGACGTTTCCTGGTGATGATTTAGGATGCTTTCTATAGCATGGAACATAGTTAGGGAAGAGAGGGATGAAAATTGAAAATCCTGCCACAAACATCCAAACCTTAAAATGTTGATGAACTGAAAATGTAGGAACATAGATATTCCACCAATCTACTGTTACTCATATTTAATAAAATGAAGTGAGGGAATTAACCACGCCAAAATGGTTATTCATTGATGTTGCTCTCTGATCATTTAATAACAGTTTGCATACATCTTGGACAAGTCATTTAATTTTGGGATGTGCTATCCAAACACTCAATTTTACTTCTCACACACCCTTTGTTAATTTCTGTTCGGTGATCTTCTTCAATTTATCTGATCCAACGGCCGAAAATTAGAGGGATGTGTGAGAAGTAAAAAATGGTGTATGGATATCACACCCCTTAATTTTTCTTGTGCCTCAATATCGTATGCCATCATATTTTATTCGTGCGTAGGGCATTGATTGTTCAACATTACCTTGCAGATGCATCATGTTATCCGTCACATGTTTCATTTTGGCAGGGGACTTTGCCATGCCTATTGGGCGGGCACCAAATTTTTTGGTGTTCTATATCATACTAGATAAAGTGCTTGCTTTCGTTCTTGGAAGACTTGATTCAACACTAAGGCACCAGCAGCATCATTCACTGGTGGGCTAGTTGGAGATTCATCCCCTTTTGCTGTACTAGCTCAGGTAATTCTTAATGGGCAACTGGAAGGAGGTGCAATATACTAGGATAACATTTCAGTTTATCAAATCAAATGGGCAAACAAAACTCCTCGGTTGGATGGTGCTGCTTGTTGACTGTTCCGACATCATGTAATTTTGAATAGGCGGTAGGTTTATAGTCAGCTCTCTATAAACCCTACGCTCTAGAACTAGCAAAGCAATTAAGTAACTAAAGACTTCCCAATGCCCAATTCAATTGTTTAGCTTGAGCGTACGACCAAACGGAAGGAAGAAAGCTCTTCACCCCCTGTTAGTATGTTGAGTGCTCTTGATTGATGAGAAGATATATTCTATTTAACGTATTCAGAACTAGGTTATTTTAATTGAGAGATACAGTTTTTTATTTCTTCATATTCTTAAATGTTTTGAGTGGGGGTTATCAGCTTCAGGACAGCTACCAAACTTTTATGATAAGGTTTCAATACATCTTCAAAGACTTCAATGTTAGGGAGTTTTGACCGAAGATTATTGAAACTGAGTATTTCTAATTGATGGAAGGAAAGAACAAACCTTTGCATGATTGGATGTCCGTAATGACAAAAAGAAATCATTAAACTATCTGCTTTGATTTGGTATTCTACAAGTATATGATTGGATGTCCGTTAAGCCAAAAAATTAAATAAAAAATCATTCAGATGTATTGCTGTTTAGATTTTTTTTTAAAAAGGTTTATCTGCGCCATATGATTTCAGCTTTCTTTATATCAAAATTTCCCCAAAATACGGTTAACGTGTAGCAACAGTGTGTGTAATAGTATTCAAAACAAAATCTTAATATGTTGGTTTCAGGTGCCGCTCATACATTCATAATTGTGCAGTATTTTCTATGCAGTTTCCTGCGAAGGTTTTATTGCTAGAGTACCCAAGCCACTTCTCTCTCATGAATGGTAGATACAAATATTAATACATGAATTAAATGGAGCATCCTAATTAGCAAGTTGTGTAATGTAAACGTTTATGCGTAGTTGCTGATCACCAAGACATGCATTTAAACTATTTACTGAGTAGCTGCTCTGACCTGGCATTTTATACCCGATTCGATCCGACTCGTTAAAATTAGTGTTTGGGTGAGTGCTTAACGGGTTGGGTTGTTAATGGGCCAATCCGTTAAATAACGGGTCATTTATTTGGTAAAATGATTTCATTAACCTGAGAGAATAAAGTTACACTTAGAGTATATATATATATACACAAGAGGTAACCACTAAGGTAAGAAAAATACAACAAACTATAACTAACTAATAGATTTCTTAACCACTAAGTAATATCTAGATGGTATAGTTACAATATTACCCTTTATATCCCGCTCAAACGAAACTGGGGAACTCGAAGTTGAAGTTTGTCACGAAGAAGATGAAATCTGGATTTGGACAGAGACTTTGTGCAAATGTCAGCTAGTTGATCTTGTGTACAAACAAAGTGCACAAAAATTTGTTTTGCCAAGACTTTCTCCCGAATATAATGATAGTCTATTTCTACATGCTTGGTCCGAGCATGAAAAATAGGATTCTTGGCAAGAGATATAGCATAAATATTATCACACCAGAGTTGGGGAGAATTAGGCAAACAATAACGAATGTCTACTAACAACTGACAAAGAATTAGGCAAACAATAACCAATATATACTAACAACTGACAAATCCAAGTAATCTCAGATGCAATGTTGGCAAGAGATCGATACTATGCCTCTGTGGAAGATTGAGCAACTGTTGGTTGCTTCTTAGCACTCCAACTGATCAAGGAATTGCCCAGAAAAACACAATAGCCCCCAGTTGATCTTCGATCAAGGGCACAGCCAGCCCAATCGGCATCTGAGAGTGCAGTGATGGTGGGATTTGAGAACACTTGGAAAACCATAGGCCAAGATCAATAGAGCCCTTAAGATACCTTAGGATTCTCTTTACTGCCTGAAAGTATGAAATTATGGGTTGATGCATGTATTGACAGACAAGATTTACTGCAAAACTGAGATCCGGTCTTGTCCATGTAAGATATTGGAATGCACCAACCAAGGATCGATACTAAGAGACATTGTCAAACAAAGGAGATTCATGATCAAGTTTAGAGGTGCTAAGTGGTGTACTACAAGGTTTTGCACCAGTCATGTTGGCTTTGGATATCAGATCCATGACATACTTTGTCTGAGATATGTAAATGCCCAAGGAAGATCTGTTGACTTCAAGACCAAGGAAGTAATGAAGAGGGCCGAGATCCTTGATTGGAAACATAGAGCTGAACTGTTGAATAACTTTGCTACATTCAACAGAGTTTGGTCTAGGTACCAAAATGTCATCAACATATACGAGAATGAAAACCACAGCAGAGTTTGGAGCCCTTTTAATGAACAAAGAATGAGCACTATGAGATCCTTGAAAGCCAAGAGATTTAAGAGCATCATGAAGTTTCTCATACCAAGCTCTTGGAGCTTGTTTTAAACCATATAATGATTTGTGCAAATGGCAGACATGAGATGGCTTTGTGGGATCTTCAAAGCCGGGAGGCTGATGCATGAAAATGGATTCAATGAGTGTCCCATGTAAGAAGGCATTGCTAACATTGAGTTGGTTTAAAAACCAATCATATTGAGCTGCTAGGGTAAGGAGAAGTCTGATAGTAACCGGTTTAGCTACCGGACTGAAGGTTGTTGTGTAATCTAAACCTTCTTGTTGATTGAAACCCTTGGCCACGAGCCGAGCCTTGTACATGTCGATAGTGCCATCGGGCTTTCTTTTGATTATGAAAACCCACTTGCAGCCTACAATGTTCTGGGATGAAGATTTAGGGACAAAAAACCATGTGCCGGTGTTGATAAGGGCATTGACTTCTTCTTGCATTGCTTGGCACCAATGAGAATATTTTGAGGCTTGAAGATATGTGTTAGGTATATAATCAAAGGATAGATGAGATGGTAGAAGGTGTTTAGTGGCAGTGAGGGCTTTAGGCTTGAAGATGCCAGATTTGGACCTTGTTTGCATGGGATAAGTATTAAGAGGTGGAATGGGATTGTTGAGAGGAGGTTCTGCAATTGCCACAGGAGAATGGGAAACTAGATTCATTGAAGAAGACGGGGTAGGTGAAGGTGAAATTGTAGGTTGAGGTGATGAAGACAAGGTAGGTGAAGGTAAAGGTGAAATTGTAGGAAGTGTAAAGGTAAGATTTAAGGGAATGGTTGATCCAGAGGTGGGATGTGGGATTGAAGGTGGAGAAGGTGATCTATAGTGAAATGGGAAACTAGATTCATTGAAGAGAACATGCCTTGAAATGTACAATCTGTTGGTCGCAGGATCAATGCACTTATAGCCCTTATGATTTAAGCTATAACCAAGAAATACACAGGCCTTACTTTTAGGATCCAACTTGGAGAAGGTGTAAGTCTTTAACCATGGGAAACAGGCACATTTGAAGACTTTTAAGAAATTGTAGTTTGGTACTCGATGATATAAGGATTCCCAAGGAGATGGTCTTGATGCAGTTGGCAATTTGTTAATAAGATAGATTTTTGTGTGGAATGCTTCAACCCAATATATGTGAGGTACCTGAGAAGCTGGCAATGAAGTATGTTGATGCACAAAACCGGATGGTCTTGGTACAACGTAAATCCGACCGTGAATCTGCATGTAATGTAAATAACACAAGATGTATCGTGGTTCACCCCAAGGTTTGGGCTACGTCCACACTGATTGTATTATATTTCTCTGAGAAGTGAGGGGGAGAGAGAGCTCTAGAAGTGAGAGCGTTGAAAGGGGTGAGAAGGCTCCAGAAATGGCCTCTGAGAGTGAGAGTGAGGCCTCTCTAGAATGAGGGTAGGAGTCCCCTTTTATAGAATAAGGGGCTCCTCCTCCTTTACAAAGTATGGGCTTTAGTGTGAGGCCCAAATACAAGGCCCAAGGCCCAAATATACGAGGCCCTAAATATGGTATAAACAGTAGTCCCCCAAGTCTTCAGTCAAGAGAGTCTTTTGGCTGGAGACTTGAAATTCAGTCCATGTGTGGGCCGAAGTAACTGATGCTCGATATGAGGCGGTGCCCAATCTGAAATGATGCTCAACTAGAAGTAGCACATGTTGTGAGGCCGCTTTGCTTGTAGCTTATGTTGCCTTGGTTGGCTTGGCTTGTGGCGTTTGAAGGTGAGGGAGTCCCTTTTATAGAATAAGGGTTCACTCCTCAGTACATGAATAATGGGTGCTCTCTAATGAAAGTGAGGGATTCCCTTTTATAGAATAAGGGCTCACTCCTCAATACATAAGTGATGGGCTAGAGTCCCCCAAGTATTTTTCATGAGTGCTCTCTAAAAGTGAAGGAGTCCCTTTTATAGAATAAGGGCTCGCTCCTCAATACATAAGTGATGGGCTAGAGTCTCCCAAGTATTTTTTATGAGTGCTCTCTAAAAGTGAAGGAGTCCCTTTTATAGAATAAGGGCTCGCTCCTCAATACATAAGTGATGGGCTAGAGTCTCCCAAGTATTTTTTATGAGGCCCAGTTGAGGCCCAATATATGGTACATAATGTAGTCCCCCAAGTCTTCGGTCAATAGAGTCTGTTGGCTGAAGACTTCAAATTGAATCCATGTATGGGCCGAAGTGGCAGTTGTTCGGATGCGGTATTTGTATACCCTGCACTGAAGCTTTGTAGGTGAAGCTTTGAAGCTAGAGCTCTGTAAATGAAGCTTTTAAAGCTAGAGCTTTTGTAAATGAAGCTTTTGAAGCTAGAGCTCTGTAAATGAAGTCTTTGAAGCTAGAGCTCTTGTAGATGAAGCTTTTGAAGCTAGAGCTCTGTAAATGAAGTCTTTGAAGCTGATTTGACATGAGTGATGCTCATGCATGTTTATGTTGATTGACATGAGTGATGCTCATGGATGTTGTCATGAGTGATGCTCATGAATGTTAACATGAGTGATGCTCATGAATGTTGACATGAATGATGGTCATGAATGTTTATGTATGATTATCATGAGTGATGCTCATGAATGTCTATGTATGAATGACATGAGTAATGCTCATGTATAATTTGGAGTACTTGGCGTACTTTTGATCGCCTGGTTGGAGCTATTTTGGGCTTATGGGCCTTTGCTCTCCACACAGCATGTCAGCCCATTTCTTTTGGGCTTTGCCGTCTTTTTTTTTTTTTTTTTTTTTTTTTTTTTTTTTTTTTTAGTTACCCTCTGATGGGGTTTATACATATTACCCTCTTATAGGGTTTATACAAATGTCTTCGAAAGATAAAAATAAATCTCATCATTCTGGTGGGGTGTTTATTCCATGCTTTTGCAGTGTTTTTCTGCTGCACTCTCTCTGTTTCTTTATCTGGCAGACATAAGGAATCATAATAATAGGAAGATCTTTTGCTTTTTTTTTTTTTTTTTTCTCTTTTCCTTTTCTGCTTTTCCTTTT